TTCTCTGGCATCCCACTAAGATGATTCAGCCATCTTCGTCACTGCCCACGAGTTCAAACTTTCATATCCATGGCAGATTGGTCTCAGGAGTTAGCAAGTCCTGCCCAACTAAGGATATGCAAAGAGGTATCTATTGGGGAAACACTCATAGACAGTGGCACTTCCTAACGTCTGTCTCCTCTATGTAACATTTGAAATATTTGGGGTATAGGTTTTTGTAAGTTTAGTTTATAAAACTTAGGAGCTGGGTATGGTGGTACAACTGTAATTATAGCACAAAAAGATGGATGGAGGCGGACCAAGAACTCAAGGCCTCCCTTGGCTATATAGTGAGTTTGAGGCAAGAATTGGCTGCATTGAGATCTGTGGAGGCCCAAAATGTAAGCCTATTTCCACCTTGTCTGATGGTCAGAGAGTTTGGAGGTTGCTAAAAATTGCTGACAACAACCAGGGCTACACATCCTGACTCAGGATGTGGCACTTGGTTCTTTTGACATTAAGGTACATAATTTTTATTGAACTTACATTTTTCTCTGCTCCCCTCCCTGCCTCTCACCTCCCCATCAACTCTCTCCCAAGGTCCCCATAATCCAAATTTACTCAGATCTTATCTTTTTCTACTTCCCATGTAGATTAGATCTATGTAAGTCTCTCTTAGGGTCTTCATTGTTGTCTAGGTTCTCTGGGATTGTGATTTGTAGGCTAGTTTTCTTTGCTTTATGTTTAGAAAACCACTTATGAGTGAGTATACATGAAAATTGTCTTTCTGGGTCTGGGTTATCTCACTCAATATGATGTTTTCTAGATCCATCCATTTGCCTGCAAAATTCAAGATGTCATTATTTTTTTCTGCTGTGTAGTACTCCGTTGTGCAAATGTACAACATTTTCCTTATCCATTCTTTGGTTGAGGGGCATTTCGGTTGTTTCCAGATTCTAGCTATGACAAATAATGGTGCTATGAATATAGTTGAGCACATGTCCTTGTGGCATGATTATTTTTAATCCCAGTACCTGGGAAGCAGAGGCAGATGTATCCCTGTGAGTTTAAAGTTAGCCTAGTCTACAAAAATAGTTCAAGGTAAAGCAGGGCTGCATAGTGAGACCCATCTCAAGATGTACACATAACCTTACAAAAAGTCATAATTTCTTTTTTTCTTTTTTTTAAACAATTTTTATTTTATTTATTATGTATACAATATTCTGTCTGTGTGTATGCCTGCAGGCCAGAAGAAGGCACCAGACCCCATTACAGATGGTGTGAGCCACCATGTGGTTTCTGAGAATTGAACTCAGGACCTTTGGAAGAGCAGGCAGTGCTCTTAACCACTGAGCCATCTCTCCAGCCCCCAAAAGTCATAATTTCTAAACTGTAGTGGTATATTATTTGTGTTTTAATAAATAAATCTTGATTGAAGATTAGAGGACAAAGCAGCCATACTAGTCAGCCATACAGGCCAGAGAGTGGTGGCACACACCCCTAATCCCAGGACTCGGGAGACAAAGGGATCTCTGTGAGTTCAAGGCCACCCTGGACTACACAAGTTGAATCTGTCTAAAAGAGAAGCAGAGCTCACACAAAGGTGATCCCAGCACTTGGGATCCCATGCCTTTAATCCCAGCACTAGAGATGTAAAGACGGGAGCTATATGGCTGTGGAGAGAGAGAGAGAGAGAGACAGACAGACAGACAGAGACAGACAGACAGACACACACACACACACACAGAGAGAGAGAGAGAGAGAGAGAGAGAGAGAGAGACAGAGAGACAGAGAGAGAGAGAAATATAAGGGGGAAGAGACAGGAACTCAGTGGAGTGTGGAGCCTGAGGTTGGTGGAGAGTATTGCAGACAAGTCTTGCTTGTCTGAGACTTGGTAGAAGTAAGATCTCTCTGATGGCTTGGTTACTTTGCTTTTCTGATCTTCGGGTTGAACCCCAAATATCTGTCTCTGTCTCTAGTTTTTTATTATTTGTGCTACACTAAACATTAATTTTTAAACATTAAATATCATAAATTTCTCTTATAATACCTTTTATAGCCTTCCAAAAAGTAGTAATTCACAGTTATGGAGAGTAATAGGAATTCTAGTAAATTCTCTGTCTCTGCAAATGTTTTATATATTTTCTGTAAGAAATTCTAGAAGGAATCTGGGATGAGTAAAAACTGTGAGACTGAAAAAAATAAATAAAAATAAAACAACAACAACAACAACAAAAACACCCATGAGGCTGGTCAAGAGAGAAATGATGTTACTCAAATGACACGCAATGTAAAATTTATAAACTGCTTATTCTGGAATTTCCCACTTAATATTTTCAGACCATAACTGACCACAGGTAACTCCAGCAGGAAAGGGCAGTCTTAGAAGGGAGCTGTACTGTCAACCTCAGAATCTAAGCTTCGTTTGAGACAGTCTTTATCTCAGAGTGCAGACACTGGCCAACAGAAACCCTAATCCAGAACATTCTTTATCACTGAAAGACTAGAGAAGGATTAAGGCTCACTCTCTTGTGAGATGTGGTACCAAGGACCAATGCACTCTGGAAAGACGATACTCAATGTGAAATCACATTTCACAGAAGACTGAGGTACCTCTCCTCGTCCTGAACCTCTCTCTTGTTCTCCCACATCATTGCCTGAGCCCCACTACCTAAGGTGAGTGTACAGGTGTCTTAATTGGGGTTTTCTATTGCTGTGAAAAGACCCCATGACCACCACAACTTTTATAAAGAACACGTTTAATTGGGGTGGCCCGCTTACAGTCCAGGGGTTCAGTCCATCATCATCATCACGTTGTGCAGGAGGACGCGGGGCTGCAGGAGTAGCTCAGAGTCCCAAGTCTTGCAGGCAACAGGAAGTCGGCTGACTCACTGAGCATAGGAAACCTTAAAGCCCTCCTCCGCAGTTCCTCCAACCAGGCCACGCCCTCTCCAACAGAGCCACACCTCCTGAAAGTATCACGCCCTATGAGATTATGGAGGACAGCTACACTCAGACTACTACAATAGGTCATTCTAAAATTGTGTGGTAAAGTTCATAATGAGTAGTTTGAATAAAAATGTCCCCCATGGGCTCAGGTGGCTGAATATTTGGCCCCCGGTTGATGGCACTGTTTGGGAGATTTAAGAGGTGAGGCCTTGCTAGCGGGACAAACATCAAACAACAAACAGGCTGCCGACGACAAACACAGACAGATGGAAGACACAGGGAGAAGAGTGGAGAATTCAAATTTGGGCCACTTTTGGTTTAAATTATTCTACACAGAAGTCTCTCTTTTGTATGACTTAAGGCAACATCAAAACAGAAAATGAGAAAGTATTTATCAATAAATTTTTTACATATTTTATTACAGATTCCAAAAACACCAGGGTTTATATTTTTTTTTTAGAAATGCATTTGCTCAAATGAGAAATGTGTGAGCTGCCACAGCTTCAGTAAGAAGAGGAGCAAATATGGAGCCAGCTTGTCTTTCCACGCTGACACCGTGTTCTATAGTTTCCTCTTTTTACAGTGAGTACACAAACCTTTTGTGATTGACAAACACACATCCATTCATTGACGTCACACAATTCAAAGAGTCCAAACATTAACTGATGTCCATGTTTCCCAGGGATCAGCTACGGAAGCAGCCAGCCCACTGGTGTCATTTCACTGGGATGGGACCATGACTGGGCAATAACTCTGGAAGGGACGTTATAATTCTGGGACTTGTCCTCAAGCAAGAACAAGCACAAAATAGCAATGCTGCGTTTAGCACACTCGTCCCTGTACTTTTCTGTAATGTAGAAGCCTGAGGGATAAAGTCTGCTTTATTCCCTCTGTGTGCAACTCTGGCTGAGTGCTTTGTTCCTTCTATAATTCTACCCTGACAATTTAAGTCCATGACTTCTAAGCATTTCAAAATGCTATATGGCCTTCATTTCATCCGCCTTGTAACACGTCCCCCTGGTACATTAAAAGGTGCTACACTGGGCACCTTTTCTCACATTAGCAGGTTCAAGATGAAAAGTGAGTCCTATAAACTCACTGAACCACCCAGACGCCAGGCAGCTGCGTAATTTAGAACGGCTATGGAATTACGTTCATGTTTTGTTTTTACTGTGTTGTTGTTTTGGGATAAAGTCTTGTGTAACCGCAGCTGGCCGCCAAGATGCTGACTAGCAGAGGCTCATCTTGAACTCCTCATCTTCCTGCCTCCACCTCCAAGGGTGGGGGTTATAGGTGTGGAGCACCGTGTCTAGAACTCCTATGATCTCATAACCTTTTCCTTTCATCTCGTTTGTTTTTTTTTCCTAAGCAAGTCAATCTATTAATAGTCATGGGGAAAAAAATCACCTGGCCTGGCAGCTTTGCTCTGGCTGGCAGCTAGAAGAGGTTAAAGCTGGGCTTTTTAAGCAAGTCATCCAGACTCATAAAGTGGGAATCGGCTTGCCTCAACTGGCTAGAACTGTCAAGGACGTGGAGGGAGAACCTTGGTTAATTATAAGGCATGGGTGAGCATGGTGGCTCACCCCTGTGATCACAATACTTGGGAGGTAAATATAGGAGGATTGAGAGTTTCAGGACAGCTTAGGCTGTGCAAGCTCAGTCTGGGCTACATAAAACCCTGGTTCATACAAACAAGAACAACAAAAAGCCCACCACCCACCATAACTATCCATGGTCATAAAAACACCACTACCATGAATATAATAAATGTTCATGATCACCTCCCTATCTCTTCATAGTGACGACAAAGAAAGAGCAGTTATTGTTATGAAATCACTAATATACAGATTCCATTATGACCCAAACCGAATTCTAATTTACGTGTATATGAAGCTATTGCACCTATTTCTCCCGTGGGTTCTCAGCAAACAGTCTTCTCCAGATCAACTTTTCCCATTACATCTGGTCCATTACCTGATTTAAAGGGCTCTTTAGGGCACATGGACAATAAGTTCTAAGTGCAATCGGCCTTGATGTTTAACTTTTAATAAAGATTCAGACACAGAACCTACCATAATAAATACTATTCGGCAATGAACGCGATGAACAGTTTCCTGTCCACAGTCTGCAGTGAAGACAGGATAGGCCTCACTCCGCAACTTTTGCTCGGCTGGTGAGCCACAGGAGAGTTCTGTAAAGATCCGCTCTGGGTGCCAGGCCTTAGATCCAGAGGTAGTAGGGCATCTGTCTTGGCACCTGGAGGGGCGTATGCAAGAAGCAGAGGAAGGTGGCACCTGGTGGTGAATTGAGAATCTACTCCACAGTTCCTCCAGCCATGTCTGGAAGGATGAGTCCCCAGAGACATGGGACTGAGAGAAGTACTCAAAGACAGCTTACGGAAGTCCAGAGTGACAGTGAAGAGCCGTGTGACCTGGTACAGGTCATCACCTACAGAAGGCCAAAGCCGTACCTGCTTCATAAAATTGATATGGCATTAAAGACGAGCAGGTATGTATAGACTCAGCACTCGGAGTCATTACATCGATTATTATAATTATTACTACAAGTTTCTCAAGGCAGATAATGGTGGTGTATGCATTTAACCCCAGCGCTCAGGAGGCAGAGGCGGGTGGATCCCTGAGTTTGAGGCCAGCCTGGTCTACAAAGTGAGTTCTGCAGAGAAACCTTGTCTCAAAAAGTGTGTGTGTGTGTGTGTGTGTGTGTGTGTGTGTGTGTGTGTGTGTGTGCATGCATATGTGTGTGTATAATATGTATATATATTTATATATGCATGTATATAATTTTCAGGTAAAACCAGTATGAACCATGTGGTGGTTTGTACGAGACTAGCATCCATAGGCTCTCATATTTGTAAGCTTAGCCCCCAGTTGATTAACTGTTTGGGAAGGATGGAGAGGTGTGACCTTGTTGCAGATGTGTTACTGGGGGTGGGACTGGAGGTTTCTAAAGCCCATGCCAGGCCTGGTGTCTCCTTCTCTGCCTGCTGTCTGTGGTTCAGGATGTAAATCACTCATCTACTGCTCCAGTGCCACACCTGTTGTGATGACCATGGACTGACCCTCTAAAACTGTAAGCAAGCCCCCAGGTAAATGCGTTCTTTTATAAACCTTGGCCATGATGTCTCTGTGTGGAAATAGAACAGTAACTAAAAGAAATCCAAAACACACTTATGTGTTCAATGACATCATTAAAAATATTTTAAAGGCATTGGGATCAAAACCGGAGCCCTGTGCATAATGCTTTACCACTGAGCCACATCCCAACATCTGGGAGGCAGAGAAAGGAGAATGCTGCAAATTCAAGGCCAACTCTGGCTTGCCTAGCAAGTTACAGGTCATTGAGGGTTACACAATGAGACTCGAAACAAAACAAAAACAAAACAGGAGGAAGAGCCAACATACAGGCGCAAATGCCTTTAGTCCCTGTTTTTAGAAGACAGGTAGGCAGATCTCTGTTGAGTTCAAAGTCAGACTTGGTCTATATAGTGAGTTCCAGGACAGCTAGGGTTATCTAGTATGACCCTGCCTCAAACAACAACAACAAATTTTTTTTAAAAAAAAGAAGAAGAAGAAGAAAAAGAAAAATGGAATGAGGGAAGGGGAGAGAGAGGAGAAACAGGCAGCTACAATTATGTTATGTCTTAGTTTGGGTTTCCCCCAACGCAAAGTTCACAAGGGTCTGAGAGTGATGGGAGGCAAGAGGCAGAAAAGGGAAAAAGCTAACAGACGAGCCCTGCTGGGGTCACCTCCAGACAAAGGGGAACTGACCCTGTCAGTGCCCATGAGAAGCACTTGGAGTGTCACCTAGAACTGTCCATATCGAAGCCATATTTTCAGCCAGTTGAGCAATGTCCTGTTCCTGCCGGTAGAGCTAAATGGAGAAAAGAGAGGAAGAAGGAACTTTCCCTGGGTCTTCAAGGCTACAGTTTGGCCAACAGGCTCAGCAAACTCTGAAGTCCTTGTGCTGAAGAAAACAACACTACACTGAATGCAGAAAAACCGTGGGGGTGTAACAGAAAGACCATGGGATGTAACAGAGAGACCATGGGATGTAGCCAGTTTAAGATCAAACACAACCAGTAGGAGGGTAAGCCCAATTTTTAAAGACATTATCAGTACATTTACAGTTAAAAGTGGAGGAGGCAAAGTAGATGCAGTTAAGGACCAAAGACATCAGCAACACGTAAAATCCCAAGAATAAGTGTGTTAAAACCACATTCCCAGGGATTTTCCAAGCAAAAATAAAGTGGAGTTTCTCTTGTCCTCATCCTCTCAAAAATAGTTTCGAGAACACCTTTTTAAAAAAAGATTATTTATTTATTTATTTTTTTATTTATTATGTATACAGTGTTCTGTCTGCATATATGTCTGCACACCAGAAGAGGGCACCAGATCCCACAATAAATGGTTGTGAGCCACCCTGTGTTTGCTGGGAATTGGACTCAGGACCTCTAGAAGAGCAGTCAGTGCTCTTAACCCCTGAGCCATCTCTCCAGTCCAAGAGCATCTTTATCTGAAGTAGATGTAAAAGTAGATTAAAGAAGGGAGTGCATGAAAGACGGCTGAGCATAAGGAGGCAGGAAAGAACTAACTCCACTGACCCGAGCATGCATGCCATAATGTCTGCATGCCTACTTGTGCAATATGTGCTCTCTCTCTCTCTCTCTCTCTCTCTGTCTCTCTCTGTAACCCACCCCCACACACATACACACACAAATAATGCCTTTTAAAATTTATTTACTTTTAACTTATGTACACTGGTGTTTTGTCACGGCGTCAGGTCCCCTGGAACTGCAATTACAGACAGTTGTGAGCTGCTATGTGGGTGCTGGGAATTGAACTCGGGTCTGGAAGAGCAGTCAACGCTCTTAACCACTGAGTCATCTCTCCAACCCCCTAAAATAATGCTTTTTTTTTAAGTACAGAAAATTAAATCTTTGTGCATTAAATCATAGTGTGGACCTAATAAATATCGAATTAGATTTTACCTCTACCAAAAGATCAACTGCAACATTATTTATAATAGCAAAAAACTGGAAATACTCCAACTGCCCAATTATAGTGGGAGGATTAAATAAATTATGAATTTATAAAGTACGACTGTCATGTGGCTCTGTCACTTAGCTGCTTAAAACACTCATCGCATAAGATTTGGCCAGCGTGGAGTATTAGTGTTGTTTTCAAGGGGCTTGTGGAATAGCTCAATGGTAAAGCCTATGATACTCAAGTTCCTGAGTTTGGTGCCTAGCAACAAAACAATTTTTTCAAGAAGATATTGATGCAAGGAAAGATTTGTGAAAAGTTGGAAGCATTTAGAGCCCAACTGCACACAGTACTACTATTGTTATATAAAGTTATAAGTAATCATCAAATTTCTATTCCAAAACACTTTCTTAATTAGACACTTTCACTTCTGACCTGCTTTTCCATGAAATCTGAATTTAATGCACCAATAAGCAGTCATGGTCTCCCCACTACCCTGTGCAGGGCACACATAGGTGAGGCTTCCTTGCTTGTTGTATTGGTTGCTAAATTCCATAGACACAAGGCTAGTATGGTGGATATTCTGTGATGTGTAAGAGTACCATGAATAAAAATGGCACAGAGCAAACAGAAGGATCCCATGTCAGCCATGGCTCTGCTTAGAAATGCCTGTATCAAGGGTTGAGGAAGTTGGGACTGTTAACTTGAACATCGAAATGTCACTGTTGTTTTGAAGATGGTTAAATCAAAACACTAACTGCCAGGCAGCTTCAAACACAGTCCTGTAACGTGAAACATCTTGACACAGGAAGATGTTGTGACATGGAGTATTCTTGATAGAGAAACCCACCACGGAGCAGTATAGAAGTAAGCTCACAAAAATAGGTTATGAAGCATCCCTAAGACTGGTGACATCTATCAACGTCAACCTCTGTTGTGATGGTATACTTCAGTCTTGTAAAACGTTACTTTGGAGAGAAATGAGCAACGTGGTCTCTATTATGTTTACACTCTGTCTGTGAATCTACAATACTCTCGGTAAATATGCCATCTGAGAGAAAACCCTTGGCCCAAGTGACCTGACCCCTGTTGTTATCAGACTTGGGGTTACACTTCTGCCTCTTGTCATGTCCATCCACCCTTCTTCAATGAGCCAATTTAAAAAGCCAAATTTAGAACGGAAAAGTAGAAAAAGGAGGATTATTCAATGTAGACATATAGGGAAGAGGAACAGGGAGATCCATGGAACATACCTGTAGAATATTTCTTTCCACTCTGTGAATATCTGTCTCTGTGACTGATTCAGTAAAGAAGCTGACTGGCCAATAGCTGAAGCATAGAGAAATTGGGGTTCAACCTGAAGACCAGAAAAGCAAAGCAGCCAGCCACTGGCTCTTACCTTGACCTTAGTCCAAAATGGTGACCCTGCCTCCAGGAATCTCAGAATGAGACTGAAAGCTGTTTCCTCCAGTTTTATAATCCTCTCTAGGGCTGGGATTAAAAGCGTGCACTGCCCGGTTTCTATGGCAACTAGTGTGGCTACTGGGATCAAAGGTGTGTGTGTGTGTTACCACTGCCTGGTCTGTAAGGCTGACCTGTGGGGCTGTTTTACTCTCTGACCTTCAGGCAAGCTTTAGTTAGTAAAATACAAATGAAATGCCACTACACATAGCAGGACGGGTAGAGGTTAGGTGGGACCAGCAAACAAAAACAGAGTAGAGGAGGAGTCTTGAGAGCCGAGAGGAAGGAGATGCAGAGGAAGCAGGAGATGAATTTGCCGTACTGAGAAAAGATACTGAGCCACGTGGCAGAGCGTAGAAAAGAAATATGGGTTAGTTTCAAAATACAAAAAGTTATTGTTAGGTGTAGTGGCGCATGCCTTCAATCTGAGCACTCAGAAGGCAGAGGTAGGTGGGTCTCTGGGAGTTCGAGGCCAGTCTGGTTTACAAAGGTCCGTCACACAGCTATTCCCACTAGTGTGCTCTCTGTTCCCCTTTGGTGTGGGCGGGACCCACGACTTCCTCCTAACAAATGCCTGTGGAAAGAATGATAAAATGACAGTCTACTGACAGACGCCCTCCGGTTGTTGCCTTAAGCTTGTTTGGAGAACTAAGCCACCCGGCAGAAGAGGCCCAAGCGGCGAAGAAGCGTGGGCAGCCTTTGGTCATCAGCCATCCAGAAAGCAAAGCCTAGAGTCGGATTCTCCGAACCTGGCTACCAAGTTTGGAAGCCCTGTGGTGACATTGTAGCTGA